AACACGGCATTTCATGGCTTTCACATTTTTTTTTAATAAAATATACCAATTCATCAAACCAATTTGGCCAACATAAACACAGTAATAATACACTAACGACCTCTATTCACGAAACGAGAACTGTTTCGACCTTAACAAGTTGTGATGAATATAAAAAATTGGGCTGCAAATATGTACTGACTACATGACTGTGTAGATAATAGGCATAAACAATAAAAATAAATCCTGTGTGCGTACGATGTCCATTCGCACTTTAGTATTGAATTTGTATAAAATTAATGAAATTTTGTATATGTGTATTTATTTATTTATTATATTATTTATTATATTATTTATAAACTAAGGGACCTTGACAGTTTCCCAATTCGCTCCCTTAGCAATCACAATATATACAAACATAAGAAACTTTAATTATTGAACGCTTTCTAAATAATTTATTGCCATTAATGGAAACTCGACAAGTTTACAAGTAAATATATCCAAGTCCAAGGATACTAGCTTTTGTCACCGTTGAGCAGAGTTTTTTTTTATACAACTTAGAATGGCAAACAAGCTGATGGTCCACCTGATGAAAAGTGGTAACCGTCGCCTATAGACATGAGCAGTACCATGGACATAACAGAGTATACTGTTTCGCCCATGATACCCCCCATGCGTTGCCATTCCTGAGGACTCAGGTGTTATTCCTCTGTACCCTGTAAATACACGCCATATCCAACTCTTCAAACTGAAACACAGCCATGCAAACAAAACTGCTTCACGGTTGAAACACGAATGAGATAGAGGTACCCAAGCAATTTTGTACAAAGTCTCCCTCTGGTAAGTATTAAGTGGTAGTATAGACATGTCCAGCTATTCAACAAGGCCAGGAATAATTAAAAAACATTTATAATAATGTATCATAATGTAAAGTTTTTATTGTGTATATTTTAAATTAGGGACATTAAAAAAATCTAAAATACAACGGCGGGCTTATCCCATAGAAGGATCTCTTACAGTCAACCTTTGAGAAGTTGAAAGAAAACTATTGAATTATCGAAAGTAAAAACTGTACAGCTAAAGCAAAAATAGTTAACAAAACCTATTTAAAAGTAAATATACCTATATTACAATAATAAATAAATGCATACACTTCAATATACTAAAGATATAAATACATTAATTGTAATTTATTTTATTTACTTATTAAAGACGACACATTACCACATGGCACCTGAGCCATATGTCTGGGCAAAAAAAGAATACAAATAATTAACTAAAATCCATTCGACTATACTAAAAGTGTGTATAACACACACAAATTATTTATTTTTTCATATACGCACCATTGATTGTGAGGGTTACATGGAAATGTATGTAAAAATATTCCATGAAAGTCTGACAGGGGCTTGCATTTTTTATCGTGGGAATACTGAGGTTCCAGCGGCGTATGTATCCCGATTCAGTTACTCCACGTGTAAGGAAACTACCTACGTAAGTAGATAGGGGTGTGAAATATTAAGGCATGCCCTTAGCGAAGCAATGTACATCAGTGTAAGAACAAAAAACTTCAATAAAATCTTATACATGTGGTAATAATGCTTAATTTTATACTAATATTTTACTTACGTGGTAATTAATAGATTACCACGCTGGTCAGGCTTTGTATTTCGAGTTTTACTTCTTAAATATTATCTTCTTAAAAAATACTTTCCTATTACGAAGAATAGGGAAATGTACGAAAGGAAAACCCATAACTCGTTGATATATTAGTAACCCATTAACTAGACCCGTAACTGGTATTAATTACTAATGGAATAGTAAAGTTCTTTCGATGTATATGATATCGGTCCCAATAGAGTCTTTTTACCTGTAAGGAAACTTCTTAGCTAAATAGATATGGATGTAAAATATTAACAAAGAGAAATACATCAGTAAATAATATTAATATTATGTTCTCTGTAATTTTACAGCAAGAAAATAAAAATTTCGAATAAAACCTTACACATGTGATAAAAATAAACCTACATACGTGGTAATAATTTACCACGTTAGCTAGGAGTTCTTTTATCAAGTTTTATTTTTCTTCTTTAATATCTTCAAGTTTTTTGTATAATTCTGTTAGTAAAATAATAACACTAATATATCTACAATTTATAAATCAATTTACAATACGCCTTTCATTGGCTTACAATAATCTGATAGGTAGATAAATATAATACAGGATAGACGAAAGGTTCGAGCTCAGTTTTAACTGTGGTTGGCGTATGCCAACCACAGTTAAAACTTAAAATAAAAAATAAGATAGTTAAGATTAAAAACTAGCATAGTGGTATCACTATGCTAGTTTTTAATCTTGAATCTTAACTATCTGAGAATTACAAAGGAGAACTTGTAAAGGAGCTAGATAAGACTTAACACAACTGGTTTATGAAAAAAAAATTGTGAAATTGAATTTGTTTATTACAACTTGACTTTTTAATGGCTTAACGTATCGCCATGAAATTTATTATATACCTACTATCATCATCTTCTTACCCTTATCCCAATAATTTGGGGTCGGCGTAATATGATTTTGTCCATATTACAAAAAGACTTGATTTTAAGTTTTACGACCGGCCACCTGCCTGATGTCAACCCTCTATATACCTACTATATAAAGTAAAAAGGTCTAGTATTTATCTCTGTTAAATGAAGTTCCTTTAAGCAACCACAAGGTTTGTGATTGCTATTGCCAATTGTGATTGCCATAATATTGCAAAGAGGTTGCTTTGCATTTTATGCCAATTAAATGCACCTAATTTGTTCAGATAATCCAGGTCTCAAATCTGCTGGTAAACATCAGATGCACCGGATCGATGCATCACGACTGCGCAATGGGGGGGTCGATGCACCCGTCATCTCGGACCTGGCGTTGCCAGGTTGAGTATTTTTTTCGTAATTTTGGTAAAAAATTTCTCTTGGAGAAATGGAATAGATGGAAATTTTTTGGAATAAAATAACTCTAGAGAATTTTGGGTAATATTTGAGATTTTTGACATATGTAAGCCGCATCTATATTCTTAAATCATTGAAAATATAAAAATGCCGTATATTTTTTTCGAGCCTTCCAGAACAGTTGTTAAAACTTAGTGAAATTACAGGTTTCGAAAGCTAAGTACCATAATCCTCGAGAATGGCAACACATGAGAGGTACCATGAGCATCACAGTGTATTTTGTGATATCCATGAGGTTTTTTGTGATCCCATCAGGTAGACGCAGCTTGTTTACCATCATAAAAAAAAATAGACAATTGTGATGGAGTAAAACTGAAAGAATCACGTTATTTTAGTGAAGAAAATGTATTTGAAAGAGTAGAAATAAAACAAAGATCCAGCAACGCTGCTCGGACCTGAGTGAGTGACCTCGATTCTATCACGTTGCGGAAACGATTGGAGTTCAGAGTTCTCGATATTGAATTGCGGAGTTTCCAGCTCTCTGGATGGTTGCACTCGACAAACAATGGAAGTAAATGGTCTGTTTGCGAATCGATCGACTCTGAGATTAAGTTATTTATAGTTAAAAGTTTAATCCAGGTAGTAGTGGTAAAGTTTTAGTAGTTCACAACATCACACATAGATTTTTACCATAGATTATCTATATTATCTGATATTATCCAGTTAATATAATGTAGATTGCTCGTGTGGTCCTGTCATAGAATAGGCCACCTCTTTGCCGTGGGTGTCGTAAGAGGCGACTGAGAGAGAGGGACATTTCTAAAGCCTAACTGCGGTTAGATAGATAGATAGATAGATAATTTATTTACATTACTTACAGCACACAAATTACAATAAAAAAACATTTATTAGTTTATTATAATAGTGAACTGTATCAACGTCTGTCATATTATTATTTTATTGAACTATGTGTTACTTTGCAGCTGGTTAGTTGATAATTATTTTTAAATCCGCTACAATTATTTATTAGCCACAGTTTGGGCGCCGAACTGTTAACAATAGGTTCCGAACAAACATTGCTTTACGTTACTTACAGAACCACTCTCTCTAAATAAAATTACTCGTAATAACAAATCGAAATATTCCGTCAAATAATTTCTGATTTACACTATTATTGAACATCAACAGACTGTCTCGTGGTCATCCGACCATTAATATACCCATTAACCCCAGTGAGCCATTAATATCCATTAATGAGTCGTGTTAATATTATTTAAAATGTAATATGTACTCCCTCACCAGAAGAAGATTTTGTACAAAAGTCGTTTGCTTAGGCACGTCCGTCCTATTCGTATTTCAACCGTGAAACAGTTGTGTTTGCATAGCTGTGTTTCGGTCTGAAGGGTGGGATATGGCAGTGAATTTACAGGGTACAGAGGTATAACACCTGAGTCCTCAGGAATGGCAATGCATGGGGGGTATCATAGGGGAAACAGTATACTCTGTTATGGAGGTACAACTCATGTCTATAGGCGATGGTTACCACTTTTCATCAAGTAGGCCGTCAGCTTGTTTGCCATTCTAAGTTGCATAAAAAAAATTGAATTAATATTTGTCTGAATGAATCTCTCGTTTGACTAAAGACTGATATTTACTCATATATTTGACGTTTAGTTTCCTACGTCACTGCCCCACTTCTCTTCGAGCTGCGCTAGAGTGCAGACGTGCATTAGCTTCCTAGTATCAAATTAGTAAAAATCAATATAAAACAATATTGGATAGTTGCTCTTAAGTTTTATTTATTCATAGCCCAATTTAGCTTACTGCCGAGGTTTTCCCAAGAGACTTTAGCATGGGGTTCTACAAAAGGGGATAAAGAGGTTTCTTCAGGTTCGGTAATGCGCGCGTAATACCCTTGGTATTGCGGGCGTTCACAGGCTACAGTAACCGTTTATCATTAGGTGGGTCGTATGCTTATTTGCCACCTCAGTGAAATAAAAAAAAAATCTCCTAGTTTGTGTATTCGTTTTTTAGCATTTTAATTAAATTACATAAAAATAGGTTGTATAATGTAACGAACTGACCTTCTGTTGTCCAGGTATGCGTCGTATTCGTCGGGTAGATTTTTGTCGTCATGCATATCGTACAAATCGCTGTAGATCGCCGACTCGAGGCGCGACGGGTCCAAATGATAGTTTGGGTTCTCGTACGAGAGAAGACCATTCTCTGTGGACAAGAAGAGAGGTGTTTTTAAGTGGTTTTCAAAAGAAGGACAATACTCGATTCGTTGGAATTTTTGTTTGTTCATGTATTGAAACCTTTATTGTACATCCATATTTAATATATTGAGTATCTTTGCACATCCAAAAGGTTGACTGGTAGAGAAAGCATATAGCATTAAGTCCGCCTTTTGTACTACATTTTATTGGTCAATAAAGTTTAAATAAATAAATATAGAAATCAGTTTATAAAAAAATTACAAGATACACAGGCAGGCTTATCCACTGAAGGGATTTCTTCCAATTAATCTTCATTTTTTGTTTTTATGTTAGGCATAATAGTTATAACCTTACCAATTTTAAATTCATTTATGATAGTGAAATTTCAATATTAAATATACAGGTTGAATCTATAGAACGAATTTAAAAGTAAATATTTCCTTTTAGATAAAAAAAAAAAATTTCAAATTGATTTATGAATGGCGAAGTTATAAGGTAACAAACATAAAAAGACAAAAATAAGGGATTGTTACTATTAGAGACTACTAGTCTCATTGCTAGCAATATAACCTGTTAGATCGACCTCCACTTGGTCCCTCCTGGAAACCATCGTCCTGAATCCCAAGTGTGTTCATTACGATGGGCTAACTTACCTGCCTATTCATTCACACTTATCATCCCCTAGTGGAGCCCCGCCAGCGTATATCGTTAGCACAGGCGGGGTTGCCATCCCATTATAATACAATAAAAAATCCTCCAATTTTCTCTTTTATGTTTATTTTATGTTTAACCCTAAAAAGCTTGATTTTTTTAAATCTAAATTAAAATATATAAAAGTGTATCCTTTACTGTGTTTACTAATGGGGAAAAATTGTTAAAAATCAAAACGATATTTTTATATATTTATTTAAAAAAAAAAAAAACATTTGGTATAATTTTTGATACTTTAGGCATTACGGTAATCAAAATATTTAAATTTATTTAACAATGAAACAATGCAAACCCCGGTATCAAATTTGAAACTTCCGGCATTTAAGGGTTAATAACTTTATCCTAATTCAAATCTGTATTGTTAAAATAGAGGTTAAGAGATATTAAATAATAATATAGATAGATAGGTAATAGTTACTTTACGTGTAATCAAATAGCACTTCATGGGTATCGGTGTGGTAATAAGGGCACCGAAGCCATAAGTTAACACTGACATTGGATATGTTATTTCAGTAGCATATTTCATACATAAACCTCAATACATAATTGCACTCATAAACTGGATGCACTTAAGTGACCCTCCTAGCTAATAAAGTTCAAAAGAAAAAGTAAATAATATTTTTTATTTATTTATTTATTTATTTTCTTTAATACTTTATTGTACACATTAGTTATAAAAATATGACAGAGGTAAACGAAAGTACAAAGGCGAACTTAACTCTGATAGAGTTTTCTTCCAGCAACACCCAAAGTGGAAAGGAGCATCAATGTCAGCGAATACAGCAGTGTACAATTTTTAAACAGACAAAATTAAATTAATTACATTATATTTTATCGCACAAATACACATATACATAAATATATACCTTCATCTATGCATATACATACACATACATACACATATACATACAATATACATACATATATAGATAAATAAATATATGTTCATAGAGGTAGAAGATGCTCTTTAAGTCTACTCTTAAAAATATTTAGAGATTGACTCTCACGGATAGATATGGGAAGAGAATTCCACAATCTAGCAGCATGGACGGTAAAAGATCCACTAAAAGATTGATTATTATTTCTTTAAGAACAAACTTATTTTAATGAATTATACAACATACTTATATCTAACGATGTCGTTCTAACTTGTAGTTTCCGTAAAATTGGCTCACTTCATATTTGTAAATCACCGTGTCTTGGTAACCTCTTATGGACTCCTGCGATACAGGTTCGCCTAGTGCGGGATCTAATGTACTCACATTGTAAATTACTTGTATTTAATAAATAAATAAATAAATCTAAGGTTGAAATCTTTTATTTTTTGGCTAAAAAAGTAGTGTTTTATTTAGAATCACTCTGAATGAATCTGGCTTTTATTGTTTGGTTTTAATATATATTTAAAATAGTTTGAAATGTAAAGTAAACCGTAAATTAAATTTTCAATAAAACAAGCTTACTAGAATTGCTGATAAATTCATGTCAAACTGTAGAGAAAGAGATACAAGAACAAAAATTCATTGCAAATTAATTATATTAAAGCGGCCTCTTTTATGAATTTCCATAGAAATTTGTTAATTGGATATGTGGCAACTAAGAAGCTTTACGATCCTATTACAATCATGTGACCATTTTGGTTTCTTAACTACATTTTTTTACTTCTAACTGTAAACTATAAAATTCACATACAGTCGCGGATAAAAAAATACTATTCTTACTAATATTAAAAATATGAAAGTGAGTATTTTTGTTTGTTTGTTACCTTATAGCGCCTTAACAGCTTAATTAATTACTATGAAATTTGATATACACTGTATGAGGCTCTTTTTTACCCTAATCATTAAACATATCCTGGTTACGAGGACGAAGTGGCGGATAAAAGCTAAAACTCCTTTTTACAGCTCTCCATTTACTCTAATCCTTCTCTATGCACGCTGTAAGACTATGGAACACACTGCTATCCACAATACGAAGCGCTCAATCATTAGCACCCTATTAAATCCTACCTGCCATTGTAGTAGAGTAGTAGTAGTAGAACCGACTAAGGGAGGGCGAGGGATGGGCAGTAGCGTCCCTCTTAAAATATCTCTAAAACCTGACTGCGATTGCCAATCCGCCTGCCAAACGTGGCAAGTATTGGCAAAACCGCCCAAAGGGGCGGCTTGTGTTCAGCAAAGGCTGATATGATGACGATGATGATGTACATATCTAAATGTATGTTATGTATTATATATATTTATTTATGTAACGTATTCTATTATCAATACTTAGATGTAAGGTATTTATATGATTATTTGCATACGTTTTTTTAACACGAGCGTTTTTTTTTATCAGATACCAGAGGGAGACTTTGTACAAAAGTCGATTGCTTGGGTACCTCTGTCTCATTCGTGTTTCAACCGTGAAGCAGTTGTGTTTGCATGGCTGTGTTTCGGTTTGAAGGGTGGGATAGGGCGTGAATTTACTGGGTATAGAAGAATAACACCTGAGCCCTCAGGAATGGCAACGCATGGGGGGTATCATAGGCGAAACAGTATACTCTGTTATGTCCATGGTACTGCTCATGTCTATAGGCGACGGTTACCACTTTACATCAGGTGGGCCGTCAGCTTGTTTGCCATTCTAAGTTGTATAAAAAAAATACTTATTGCGCTAAATAGCTACCGTCTTTTGAACTTCACATGTATTTATATACTTATTCTAATTCAAATTCTTAAGTGATGCAATAAAGAGTATATAAATAAAATAAAAGCCAAACCCCATAATGCAATTTAATTAAACCCCTTTACAAAGATTTATCTAAGCCGACTCAACACGTGCCGTAAAGGGAACTTAACGACTTTTTTATTAGACTGTACTTCCATAGTTCCTGGCCAACTGTACCCAAATAAATATAAACTACAACCTATACTTATTGAGGAGCCCTGCAGTTTAAGGACCCCACATAAATGGTTATAACCCAAATAACAATCCCGTCTATACCACGACAATGTTACATGGCTTAATGATGCGGCGCAAGTGAGAGGAGGTAGCGTTTTTAACCGGTTTCAAGAAGAATAAGATTCTCAATTCGGATGTATTTTTTTTTGTTTATTACCTCATAACTCTGTCAGTTATAAGCCAGTTTGAAAAAATCTTCTTTTAACTGTAAAAAGTATACTTACAGGGTTTTTTTTATTGGATGAAAATGGAATGGTAACCCCGCCTGCGCTAATGGGATACACTGACGGAGCACCAGTAAAAGGTGATAGATGAGAATGCAAACAGGCCAGTTAGCCCATCATGATGAATTCATCAGGAATTAACCATGACAATTTTTTTTTAACAGTTGTGCTTGCATGGCTGTGTTTCGGTTTGAAGGGTGGGATATGGCATGAATTTACAGGGTACAGAGGAATAATACCTGAGTCCTTAGGAATGGCAATACATGGGGGGTATCATGGACGAAACAGTACACTCTGTTATGTCCATGGTACTGCTCATGTCTATAGGCGACGGTTACCACTTTTATATCAGGTGGGCCTTCAGCTTGTTTGCTAATCTAAGTTGTATAAAAAAAAATTACAAAATACCATTGTTTATCACCGTGTGGTCCCGGCATAGCATAGGCCACCCCTTCCTATCCCGTAGTTGCCGACTCGTATATATATATATATATATATATATATATATATATATATATATATATATATATATATATATATATATATATATATATATATATATATATATATATATATATATATATATATATATATATATATATATATATATATATATATATATATATATATATATATATATATATATATATATATATATATATATATATATATATCCCGTAATAGGCAACCAATGCATCTTAATGGTCGAGGGATGGACAGCAGTGTCTCTCTTAAAACATCACTAAGAGCCTAACTGCTGTTGCGAACCCGCCTGTTAAGCGTGGCAACTATTGGCAAAAACTCCCTTTATGAGGAAGGTTTAATAATTGACAGTTAATGACCTATATTATAATGACGATGATTGTACCCTCTACACTCTGAAACCCCCAGTCTCCTAACTAGTTAAGCAGTAAATTCCAGTATCTTTTTGAAACTCACGATCGTAACCTTCGTTCCAATAATACTCTCCAACTATCTTTCCCCTCTCACCGTACTGGTTACGCTTCAAACTCTTTTCTCTTACGTTCTTCACGACTCTGGAACGCGATCCTGATGCCATTAAGAGACTACCGACTAAATCGTCTTTAAAAAAAACGTCTCGCTCACTTTTTTACTTTATCCGATCAGTAAG